CACACCTAGTTCCGCTCGTCCAGGAGTTGCAGTAGTAGGTAAGTTTATATATCCTACTTATTTTTAGCTAAATAAAAAACTGTGAGTATAAAAATAATAATTTTATCACTTGTCAAGTACTTATGTTTCCAATTTGTTTTTTTGCTAATATTTTGTGTATGTACAGCGATCTTTTCAGAATGAGCCGCTGCAAACAGGCGATACAAAATCCACTCACGACGGCGGCCGAGCGCGGTCTGTGGTTTCATCGAAATCTTTGTACAATAAATCAAAGCAGGCACCAACAATAAAATAGCCCTTATTGCAATAGATTATGATTCATCCGTATTACCAAAATATGTGAAAAAATGTGCATCAGTTTTTATTTTTTTTTAGGACTATTTGTGACATTTTGTTAAAAAATAAACCCAGGGTTTTTTAATTGAATATGTCTGTCATCTTATAGTATTTTTTAATTTTTTTAAATATGTTGATAATAGACCAAAACATGTACCGAAACACAAGCCGGTATCGTTAATTTTGTAGAAAATGGCAACGAAAGTTCGTTTTTACAATATAAAAAACTACTATTTTCAACAAAAGAGTTACAGACGTTTGCAGATGAAGGACCAATCTATACATGGTACTTTTTACTTATATTTGATTTGGTTTAGTTTTGCCACAAAATCTACCGAAAAACACCCTAATTTTGGTTGATTTGCAAACGCGTTCTTAACTTTACAGCTTTTATCCGTCTCAGCAAAAGTTATGAAGCAATAATTATTTTAAGATGTATATATTTTGATTACTAAGACATGTTAGAATTCCTTCGCCTCCGAGGAGGTAGAAAATCAGCATTTAAAGGTCCGTTCTCTCCGCAACTCTCTTCCTGCTGCATATTAATGATCTGTTTATTCCCGTTGTGGAGAGCTACCAACCAGCCGAAAGCTTGGGTCAGTCGAGATCAAATCCAGTCCGAAAGGGAAGCTATGGTTGAGAGTGCAAATCTCTCAAGTAGGCTGTCTCCGAACGGGGCGATGCCAATTTCGTGAGATTCAACGCATCCAAAACACAAGCGTATCTTTTCACCATTAAAAGGAGCTCGCTCAACCGGGCTTCTACTATCCGGAAGATATTCTTGGAATAAATGCACTGACCGCCCTTAGTTGTTAGGGGTTGAATTTTCTCCGTGCCTCAACTACGGGTGGTTCATTGAGTACAGATTCAAAGCATCCGCAAGGAACTAGGTGTCCTTGCAGGGGTGTGGCGGTACCGCGCTGAAGCAGCTTCTTACCTTATATAAAGCACAAGTCCGGTCGTGCATGGAGTACTGTCGCATAGGGGCTGATACTGAAAAATGCCCCCTGGCAGCGTTGGACTTAGTAGAGACGTGCTAAGAGACTCATTGGTAACCTTGACTTGGTTGAAACCAATCTTATCAGCCTCGAGCACAGGCGCAGAGTAGCCAGCCTCTCAATATTCTACAGGATGTATTTCGGTGAGTGCGCGTAGGAACTACAGCAGGCTTTAATTCCTCCCTCTCCTTTCCACCATCGGATGACCAGACGGTCGGTAGGACTTTACCCTTTGGTTTTCTGTATTCCACGCATAAGAACCAAACGGTTTCCTTATTCTTTTGTAATGCGTACATTTTGTTTGCTAAAACCTTATTATTTGCAACAATAGTCACGCTTTGACAGGAGGAAATGCGATCACTGTACTGTACGTCTTGCTCCTTAGACGATCTAAATACTACACTACGACCTAACTTAATACTTGTAACAGTTTAATATAAGGACCTACTTGCACAATTGTGAATGAATTACATGAAATGCAGCAAGGCATTAACTAACATTACTAACCGCATATCCAAAATAGTGCTTTGTTTGTACGTAAGTATTTCAAGCTCGAATTTTACAAGTGCACCAACTGGACACGGATCCTTTAATAAACATTTAATGTATCACCTGCTACAAGGCTTAGTCCTCGGCGTGCCCGGCTCGTGATTGTGAGGATTTTTTGAGGAGCTAGAATACCTCGAATACCATAACTTTTTTTTTAAATACAAGCGAAAAATTAACCTGTAGTCCATCCGGCCAAATGATAACTGCAATCCATGGATCCTCGCTACTTTTGTTACATCATTCAAATAAGGTATTTCGTATACGAGGTGGAGCCATGCTGCAGTTATATTAGTAGTATAGGTATAGCACGAATGGCTGGGCTCGACCGGGGAAGGACCGCGCTCTCACAGAATACCAGCGTAAAATAGTATTAGCATTAGCTGCTGTGTTTCGTATGGTGAGTGTAGAGAACCGGAGACCCTTTTTACTGGAAACGAGGCATTCTATCTTAATCCCCACGAGTGTCAACGCATCTGCATTCTGATTCGTAATCGAGGATAAATATAGACGTCTATGAACCACAGCAACCACTTACCATCAGGTGGACTGTGTGCTCGTTTGTCACCCTATCCTATAAAAAAATGGCTACAGATGCGTTGTCACCGCTAAGGATTGAGATAAAATGTTTTACAGCCTGCAATTATACTCGCTCTCTTTACCTTTCAGAATGGAACACAAAAATTATTGTTTATTTATTTGCTTTATAAATTCCTGTCTACGTGCAAAATACACGCTCAGTCCTGGATCTGCGGAAATCAGACCGTGAACTAACTATGATGTAATAAATCTGCACATTGTATACAAAATTCTTTTTTAAATGCTTTTATAGAACTGTTTCATTGTACTAAAGTCAGCTTCTATTTTATAACCGGAAACGGATACGATGAGTATTTTATACGAATATTGCACTAGAAATTGTTTTACATTCAAATCTCACAAGATCTTGGTCAATATCGACGAAAGAACAATAAAGTTCTGGCCGGTATTTTTTGTTATAAAAGAATAGTAAACATCAATATTTTTATACACACCCAATTGTTATTAGAATACTTTCTTTACATATTCATGGTAATTTGAATAATTTATACGTTTGAATATTCATAATTATTAGATAGAAAAGCATACAGAATTTAAACGCCTTATAGTTACAATAATTGTTTGTGGATTCGCTCCACAGTCCACCAGATATCTATTTATAATTTAATATAATTAAGATTGATAGTTACAAAATAATTTAAATTTGAAATATACTAAGTTCGTATGCACTGCTTATGTACTGCACCGTGGTCGTAATATGTTGTAATGTCCTCGAGACCGAATTTCGGTTACGGCGGCCACTCTTAATGGAGACTAGCCAACTAGTCAGGTGCGCACTAGTCAGCATAGACTACTGCGCAGGACAGGATTATAATTCCCGAGGGTACACCCAAGCAACGTTGCACTTTCTATTCCCTCACTCTAATTGTCCATTGGGACGAGCAGCCGACACGATCAGAGTAAGGTTAGGCACAGGCAAACGGTTTACATGCTCTTCTGACTTCAAGCTGTCACTGAGAACTTCTTGACAGTAAAACTTGACAACGAATTTTTGTTGGCCCAACCCGGGATATGAACCGGGAATTATGAGCAACGTTTACGACCACTGAACTAACTAGGTAATTAGCTTAATATATACCCGTTAGGTAAGTGGCATAATTATGAGTCATTAAGAGATGACTTATGTAGTCTTCTTTAAAGATTATTGTGCGATTTGCTATCGATCCGTGGAATCCTCTTGCGGTGAAGATCCTAAAGGAACTGGAACTGGAACCCATAACTTGTAGCTACACGAGGGCTGGATTTAACGTGGTAGAGCCATGCTGCAGCTATATTAGTAGTATAGTTTTAGCACGAATGGCTCGGCTCGACCGGGGAAGGACCACACTCTGACAGTATAACAGCGTATAAAAGTATAAAATAAAAGCTCAACGCTGCTGTGTTTCGGGTCATTAGTGTAAAGAACCGGAGACCCCTTTTACCGGAAATGAGGCATTCCATCTTAGTCCTCATGGGTGACAACGCATCTGCGTTTTGATTCATAGTCGAGGATAGATGTAGACATCAATGGGCTACAGCGACTACTGGCTACTACTTAACATCAGGTGGACTGTGTGCTCGTTTGTCACCCTTATCGCACCAGCACCCGCGCGCCCGACCGCAGCCAGCGTTCTTGGCACTAAATCGTGGAGAGTAGGATTGTATGATAATTTTTGTTTTTAGTTTTAGTTTGTTTACTATTGTAATAGACATGGTATATTTTAATGTTTTCCTTTAATTTCAGGTAATCGTAATATGTAATTATAGGAAAATAATGATGTGAGATGTGAAAGTAAGAAGTTTGTAAAGATTACGGTCGGAACTGAACGAGTACTCAGTGATGCGAACTCGAGTGTTGCGTAACAAAAGAAAGCACTGGACCAAATGATGAGGGAATTAAGCTCTCAGCACATATTTTTATGACTCGTTGCTCATTGATTTAAATATTTTATATAGCAAAGTAATGTTAAAAATAATATGCTGAATGGAGGAGGTAAAAGATAATAATTAATGATCCTATTTCATGCTGTAGGTTTCGTAAAAGATGTCCATAGGATAGATCAAAACGACGGTATTCCATCTCGTATATTATTCAAAGTTGCGAAACATTAGTTCATTAAATTGGCGACCTGCATATCTACAACCTTCCTATAAAGTCTCGTCACGAACTATTACAGGAATTGTTTTGTTTGAATTGTCAAAATACCCAGATAAAAACCGGATATTGATAACGAATTAATGTATAATTATAAATGACATACTTTTTACCAAATCTAAATTAGAAAGTAAAATTAACATATATACATTGTATTGTAAATTAAGTAGTTTTAAATTAAATGATCCGAGTATTATATAATGCTAGGCTAAATTAAGCTATCTACGCGCTTGCAATGAAGCTTAGCATGACGATGCTAGACATTAAAAAATAAGATCATCAGAGCATCACTTCGAAATAATTATTATGATGTTTTACGGTGCAGGTTCGAGTGAGAGCGAGTGGCGGGTAATGCCGCTGGCGCGGTGGCGGTTCGCGATGGCGACATGAGCGGAGCGGGCGCCGGCATAGTGAACGCGCCACCGCTCTCCGCCGCTGAGGCGCTCTCCTCTCTTCTATGGCAGCCGTACGAGTGCCGTTCGCCTCCCCTCCCCCGCTCGAGCACTGATGGAGTGCTTGCGGTGCGGCGCGGAGCGGGGGCTTCGCCCGAGTGCGCGCTCCAGTCGCCGAGCGGCGGTCGTCATGCGCGCGCGTCGTATGCAACGTACCGCGCCACAACTTACGAGATGCGGCTGCCCGTGCCGGCGCCAGCGCCGCTATGCAAGTCGGATTCGGTCTCAGTTCGAGTGCCGGGTGAACCGAGCCAAGCGAACGTGTCAAGTGTGAACATAGTGCAGGTGGATGCGCCCCCCGGTCGCAACGTGAACAGTGCCGTGCAAACGGAACGGGAAAGGAGCGTCGTGAGTGCTGAGTGTCAGACAGAAGAGCCTGCGCGGCGACGGCGCCCGAGGCGTGCGCGGGCGCCGCGCGCTCCTGAACTCGAGAGTGTGCCACCACCACCCTACAGCACACTACCACCTCCAGTGCATCCGGTGCCTGTGGCAGTGCCGGTTCCGGTGCCACCAGCACCAATCGTCGCACCACACCCTCCAGCGCATCGTTTTCCCTTCCAGCCGATTCCACTCAGGTGCGGCTAAACAACATACGGTCTACTATAGACCAATTGACATATAAATATAAATCGCTCGTTTAGTCGGTCATGTCAACACACGCGGATTCAAAATAGAGAAAGGCGAGTTAATAGCGAGACATACGTAGACCGACACAATTACAAATTATATAGGTATTATTATATAGAGCATCGAGCACCATGTGGCGTATGAATATACTACAGAAAATAATGTTGGGCCGCAAGCGAAGCATGAAGAGAGCATCTTTGTGTACGATTTCGAAGCGTATTTCGTTGAAGTCTTTTATTAGTTGTGTATTACGAAATTATTCTCAAAAATGCACCTCTGATAATTGCCTGCAATAATTGGAAATATGTACTCGAAGAACGCGTTATAATAAATAATGTTACGTAACATTTATCTCGTAATTAAGTATTACTATTAGTTGGTTTTTTTTCTCTTTCTTTTCTTAGAGATAATTTGCCCTTAAGGTGCATTTTTTTTAGAACGTCACCCTAGAACGGACCACTAGGATTTTCGCCTGTTTTGTGGAGACAATTTACAAACATAAATTTAACAAGAACAAACATCCAGACCCGAAACAATTATTTGTAGGACATACAAATACTTGTTCCGTGTGGGATTCGAACCCACGGCCTCCAGCGCAACTCATTGCTAAGCCACTGGGCCACGGGGCCGTCAAAAAATTTATCACCTCATTACTTCAAGATTTTATTATAAAGTAGAATATTCTAAGAAATGGCGTTAGCTAGCCCGAAGTTGTATGCAGGTTACCCGCCACGCAACTTTGTCATGGCAATACAGCTATATCAAGCAAAGGTGACCTACTTGATTTCTACCTAAAATTCAAGGTCGTATTGTGTATGCAATGATACACCTCTACTTGACACTAAATATGACAATGATTTTGGGTTTGGGAATATTTAAGCTTGTAAATGTACGTTACATTTAAAATATTTATAAAACAAAGATGAAACACAAATAAAATTGCAGACAACCTTACAACTCTGAATGAGTACTTACGTTTATAAAACGTTTGTAGCATACCGCTCTGGTTGTAGGCAAAACAGGTTTATGCCTTCGATCACATGTTGGAAAGCTGTAAGTGAACTTATTAACTGGACTTCCTGTTTAAATATATTACAATCAAAATTAAATAGGTAGTAGGTACTTTCTGCTAAAATTTGTTTTCATCGCAGTAAATAAATAGCTACATATTATTTTTTCTAAACTATTAACAATTATCGCTTAATTATTTTACTGTATAAAATAATCAAGTGATAATTAAAATTTATTTTGCCTGAAACTGTGATGAGTTTTAAAATAATGAAATTATCAACATTTGATAGAGTTCTCTATAATATCTGATAGGCATCGAAGTAGCTCTTTGGTAAGATATATGTAATTGCATTAATATTTGCATTGGTTGTATTTATAGACATTTACCAACATTGTGGACAAGGCAGAAATTTAAATAAATACACTTGCGTCACTTAAGGTACCACCTGTTCGGGTCACTTGATAAATAATGTATCAATCGAATGGACATGATCAATAGACAGCGTTCAATGTCTTTCGTATAATAAAGTTTACTCGTCAAAATCGACTGGAACAACTATATTTTATCATTTTTATTTTTTAATAGATATTTTTATTCAATATAAATTATAAATATTACTAATTGAAAGTTACTCTTATGATTTATTTACCACTGGTTTGGAAAATACCTTCGTCTTGGAAAGAACCAGCAAGAAATTCAGCAGGACATCTTTTTTATCTATTCCTGTAATTAGAAGTTTTTATTACTGCTGGATAAGGAATCATTTTTAAATTCTTACTCTCCCATAGGGTAATATTGTAATTTTATATAATTTTCTAGGAAATCTATCTAGGTTGATAGTGGATCACCCTTACCTATTTCTTCCGTAAAATAACAGTGTATGTACTGCTGGTTTTCGACCCAAAAGGTATTAGAGAGCCAGTATGGTTACAAGCTGTGAGACATTTCATCTTAGTCCTCAGATGTGATAACGCATCTGCAGCCTTCTTAGTTTGAAGTGGGTTACAGGTGTCCGTGGACTACATTAGCCACTTACCAACAGGTGGTATGATTGTTAGTTACTGCAGTTTTGTTAAAAATATATTACAAACATTTTTGAATAAATTATTAAAAAGAATATTTATGTCAACTTTTTGCGCTTAAAAATCAGTTTCTAAATAACGGAAACATGGAAAGATTATTCTTAGAGAATTATTATTTAATTTTTAACGTAAAGAAGTTGGGTTTCCGTGATTCCTTACTTACTTACTTACTTACTTACTTATCTTCACGCACAATCCCTAACGGGGTAGCCAGAGAGAACAGATCGCCAAGTGTCACGATCCTTACATACCTCTTTCGCTTCTTTCAGGTTCATTAACTTCTTCATACATGCACGTCTAGGTATCCGAGTACTCTTGACCCTCCCCTCTTCGAGCAATTTACTCACATGGTCTTCGAAAGTTAGTCTCGGTCTACCTCGACACCTTTTAATATTTACTTTCGCTCCATTGATTTATATGTTACACTAGATAAGTAATTTCCGCGCCAAAGCGTTGTCACTTCACATAAGGCCACAGCCTTATACTCAGCGAACGTCGGTTCAGTGTTCAAGGTGACGCCGTCCGAGTTAAGCCGAACGATTCACAACAAAAAATGGGTAAATGCGTAGTGAAAGAATGCGTTTCAAGGTCACAAAAACATAATAAATCAAGCGGAATCACTTTCCATACGTAAGTTTTAATTTATATATTCATATTAACGTTTAAAACACTAAAAAATTAAATAAAATATCGAATATTGCAATTTAGGTTCAATGTTGCCACTTTTCCGCCTTTGTGATTTTTCCACATTATCTTACAAATAGACTTCCGCAGAGTCACGCCTGAATCCATTAACTATCCTCAGTATTGTTGCAAAAAAAATATAAAAACTTTTTAAAGTTGTTAAGTAGTTTAGAAATTCTATAAACAAGAAAATCAACGAAATTTATTGATAACCAAAGTTTTTGTAGCTAATGTCATGAGACTAAATTTAAGAGACAAAAACTTGGTGATGATTTCACAACTTATGCATATTCAACACAGATCTCGCTTAAGAAACCTAAAATTGTTTTTTTTTATTTGCTTTATTTTTTGTTTGATTTATTAGTACAATAAAAATAATATATAAAAACATATTTTATTTCATTACTTATGCTTACTTCTGTTCATCTAATAAGAAAATATACAAATTTAAAATAAAAACAATTTACTGCAACTTTAAAAAAAAACTCCTTTATATTGCTCATTTTGGGTAAAATTTCATAAAGTATGCAACACCAACCCGCCACTGCATGTTTGTGTGTCTATCTTTATCTAATCTTAGGGACGATATTGTTTTCCGCGACTTGTGTAAGTGAGACAGATATATGTTTACTTAAAAATTTTAATGATTTCAAAGCTACGTCGTCGCATTTGGATAGTGGTTACACTTTGTTCGACGCGCGGCAATGTGGTTTGCTCCTCTAGTCTTGTATAACTCAATGTTTCGCTCTATATATTTTCTTCACCATTCGGTCTTCACTCATTCCGTGATTCCATTTGGTCTAAATTTGTTATTATTCGTAGACACGTCTTTTGTAATATAAATAATTTGTTTACATCACAAGAGTTTCCCAACAAGATAATGCCATAGGAGAGTACTGAATTATTATTATTAGTTTTCGTTTATTTCCCATCACAATGGTACATAAAAGAAGAACATGCTTAGCTTATTGTTATTGATTGACTATTGTGAGAGAGCGGAACCTGTACGACCTGTACCTGTAGGATACCCTGTGTTAGTGTTTCGACCCCCACACTCGGACTTGATTCATATATTGCTAGTACTATAATTCTTAGTATGATTGATAGACATTCTTTATCTACTATAATAATGCATGTGTGTTTGTGTGTGTGCGTGCGTGCGTGCCTGCGTACGTGCGTGCGTGCGTGTGCGTGCGTGTGCGTGCGTGTGCGTGTGCGTGTGCGTGTGCGTGTGCGCGTGCGTGTGTGTGTGCGTGTGCGTGTGCGTGTGTGTGTGTGTGTGTGTGTGTGTGTGTGTGTGTGTGTGCTTTTTTATTTGTTTTTATTTACATTCCATTCTTTATTTATTGTATTGTTTTTAGCATGTCTTCTGTTTCAGAGTAAGATTTTAACTAGGAATTAGCATTAGCATTCGCAGTAGAATGAGCATGTGCATAGCATGCCGCAGGGGCGGACTTAAAATCTCACACTGGTTTTTGTATTTAAATTATATAATATGTACACACAACCGATTAACAAACATAGTAACTCAAATTAGATGTAAAATATTCGATATTTATAAATAATATTAATTTAAAAAAGATATCAGCGAACTAAAATCATCATCAGCATCATACATCCCATCATAAATCCGACATTCACATTCCACATTACCGTAAAGGAATGTCATAAAGCACTACACACAATTCATCACCACATCTGAGCCACCAGCTTTTATCGACCTCCAGCATACCATATCAGTTTGTCACTTAATCTAGCCGCAATGTGATTTTAATCAAAAGTATCTAGTTTGTAATTCATAACAATTTAGTATTTGATTAAATTAAAAAGTCAAGTTTATAATGTAATTAATTCACAATTATGAATTACCATTGCAATTTTACATTACCTTTTGAAAAAAAAATGTACAATTATTGTAAGCGGCGGCACTTGACCATAAAGTAAGAAAATTGCTTATTCAAAATCAAAAACAAAATATATTTATTTCATTAAAGATTATTAGATAAATTTTATAATTTTTTTCTTCTTCTTGAACAATGCATATCATTCCATGTATGTCCGTGTATGTTCCGGTAGCAGGGCCGAATTTAGTTTATCAATTATCTGCTATCGCTATTATATAAATAAAAGTGTCTGTCTTTAATATCGAAATAACTATTTGAAGCGACAGTAGCCTAATG